CACCCACCCTAAACCTTCAATCCCCTGTCGTCAACAATTTTGTAAGAATCCGTATCACACCAGACATCGTCTTTGGCTCGGGTCGTTCGTTGGCTCTCGCATCTCGCCAACGAGTCTTTATCGTCAAAAGATTGTGGCGAAACCCTTCACGGTTCCAACCATATAATTGCCCCTCTAAGTGTAGGGGTGACAGAAAATTTGAGCCCTGAATCAATTTCACGAAAGAGAATTTTTAAGTTTCTCTTTCCTTTTTGACCTTGAGCCCGGTACCGTTGGCGTCTTCGCCCAGAATAGTGGCTATTTCACCCTGCATAAAGGCCCATGGGACCTGACTATTCGCTAGCGGGCACTTCTCACCGCTCGGGCAATAAACCTGAAAAGAACAATAAAATTGATTTTTTTTATTGTTAATTTAACGAGAAAAACAACATCGAAACATAAGAGAATCTGAAATTCTTACCTCCGATCCGGCTCCCTGTCTCTTTATACTGTCCCGGCTGCACGGGAAACAGAATTTGTGATGCGGTACACTGGGACACTGAACGAAATGCGTGTCTTCTAAACGTTCCTGGCATAGCGTACACTTTAGAGTAGGCGCAGAGACCGGTTCAGCACCAGCAGCCGCACCTTGTGCAACCGCACCTTCAGACGATGTTGTCACAGTCGTTGATGACACCTGCCTTGAGCTACTAGATCGTCTGCCCGACGAACCTGTAAATTAACGTTAAAATTTCTTATAAAAATATATACAACAGATAAAAAAGTATAATATAGATAAAACTAACCAAACTGAAAAACGTACCTGAACTATTCGGACTGTGTTGAGAACCTCTAGAAGCACTGCGTTGCTGAGCACTTGTGGCCGTAGTCGGCGGACTTCTGCTAGTAGGGCTAGGATTGTTCGGCGGCTGTGGCACAGGTTCCGGTGATGTCAGATTATCAGCTACTGACATCAGGGCGGCCATCGGTGACGGACCATTTGCCGAACCCTGAAAGAAGCAACATCATCGTCAGCTGACGCGTTTCTAGATTACCTGTTTGTAATGAACTTGTTTGTAGGCGTATCGCGAGCCAAAAGGCACGCAGAGATGTTCGTCACGCGCAGATAAATATGGAACGATGTCTATGAATGGACCCGACCGAGCTCAGCCAGGCAATAATTGCAACACACACGGCACGTACGTACCTGATGATGATTCGACTGTGAATTGTCATTGGCGCTTTCCTGAGTCGGCGGTGGAGGTGGTGGAGGACTCGTTCTTGGACGAAGAGGTGATCCTCCACCATTTGCCGCAACGTTGGTCGGTGCCAATGGTATGGACGGTCCGACATATGCTCCTGAAAAATTGTATTATTGAAATACAAGTCGTTTCTTAACTCAAGGATTTATTAAATATAAATACGAGCTTCAAACACACAGAACTGAGAACTTTCTAAGACGAATAATCAAAATATAATAATAATCACGCGAAATTCGAGTATCTTTCATCTTGAATGTATTTTTCGTTTTTTTTTCTTTTTTCTTTTTTCTTTTTTTTTTGTTCAGAACAAGGTTAAATCCGCGAAGAAAACCTGACACGGGAATAAACGTTGCAATTTCAAGACGCGAATGACATTACCCGTCGCCATTTATTATCGAGAGAATTCTCAGATTAGCCTTGCCTACTTCCCACTTTTTGCTATGTGCAATCTGCGTGGAATGTTTCACCCCTGTAATGATCGCTTTTATAGCACAATGACTTTGTTAGCAGACAGAAATAAATTATCATTTTTCCTCCCAGACACTCTCGGCGCGACGCCGACGCTGATAAAACAAAGGCGAATAATGTAAAACGAATCGTTATCATCCGTTTGATTACGTCAGTGACAATGGACCGTTAACACTCGCGCGAGAAACCTTGAATCGAGATTTCCACGGATCTTGCACAGATCTGCGCATTAACGAATCTAATTGCAAAAGTTGCCAAGTTAAAATAATTTCTCTTTCTTAATCAATACGCGAGAGTTTAAATGCTTAAACAGATTTTTCTTACAGAGACGCTATGATAACATTTCTTTTCATCTTGCCGATCTCTCTGCACACACACAAAACGATCACGTATTTATTTTTAAACTGTGAAATAAATGTATTTGACTACATTTAAGCTTCACAAAAAAATGATCATCGGCGACACGTCTGCGCGAAGGGTTGAAGGTCCGCGGAGAGGTTGTTATTCCTAACAGCGAACGCGTATTGGCCGCGCGACGACGAGCGGGAAGAGTCATCATTCGGTCACGGCTGTTCGCGCGACGACACGCAATCCCGCCGCGTGTTAAGATACGGCGTGTTCCTCCCCCTGCTCTCTTTTGCGCCAGCCAGCCCCCCCACGATGTGTACGACCGAGTCAGCACCGAGGTCTCGTCTGTGAAGTAAACGAGGGAGCAACGAGGACAGAAAGAGGAAAGGAGAGACAGAGAAAGAGAGAGATAGCGTGTCATCGGGCAGACGTGTGACCAGTACTTTTCCGTGACGGCTCCGATAGAGCACGAGGAAGACCGTCAATCCTCGGCGAGATCGCGCGAAAAAGAAGAGGCCGCGCACGTTGCGCGAGGGTGAAGAAGAAGAGAGCTCTCGGAGAAGGAGGAGAACGCGTCGCTTCTCCGTAACCGACATATCACATCACGCATGTAGGCGGCCCTGGCTTAGTCATACTCGATCAGGGCCGTGCTAAGCGCGCGTTTATTCTCAGAGTGACGCTCTTGCGGTGTGCAATACAAAAAATCTCGTGTTCTCTCTCTTTCTCTCCGGATGATTCGTTTATCCGTTGAGCCACGAGGGATTTCCGCGGTAATCGAAATTTGTTTTCGCTATGTTTTCAACGGACAGTCGAACAATTTGACCACGTAGGGTATTATTTTGAAAGTATTCTTGAGTTTTCAAGGTATGAACTGCTTTGTTTTTTTTTTTTTTGTAGTTATAAAGAAATACACATTTAAACAACTTGTCATCTTATTCACGCCTTGTTGGAATTACTGACAATTATTTTCTCTATCTTGTACTAATAGAAAATCTATAAACCTGTATATATCACAATGTTTATGTTAGCACTGGTGCTGTGTATGTGTGCGTACATGCACACACTTGCGGGTTGAAGGTAAAAATTTACAAGGATGAAAAGATCAAAAATAAAAAAAAAATGAAGCGTGAAGTGCACACACGTGTTACATGAGCGTAGTAAAAAAAAAAAGAAAAAAAAAAGACGGGGTATGTAGTTGCACACGTCCCTGGATAGTCGCGTATATAAACCAGTCGGCTGCAGAATGGCCTTGTTTCGAAAGTACGAATTCCTCCAGACAGACACGTCGTCGATATGCGCATTTATGCCCGCCGTTCGTATGTAAGCGGATTGTTGCCGTCGCCATACGCGCGCGCGTATGTACGTGAAGCTCATCCCGATGACGTAGGGGCAAAGAGAAACGAAGCGTATATCTGCGTACGCGATCGATCGAGCGTATAATGCGAGGCGCTCGCAATACACGACGTGCCGACGACGAACGGACGTTGCGAAACGCGCTCTCGACTCTCCACTCAAGAGTCGTTATCTCTCGTCGCGCTACTACGTGTTTCATTACGAGTTACAATGCCATATTCCCCGATATGCGCGCGCTCCTACACTCTCTTGTTTTTTTCTTCCTTAGGAATTTTATATCAAAATTTCTCATGTTTCCTTCATTAATAAGAATCATGTTCAATTCTTTCACCGTCGTTGCAAGTCTAAAAGTCTCTAAATATAAAATTTAAATATTTCAACAATAGCCATATTTCTTCCGGATGAGAAAATTGACTTGACTTTTGACACACAAAGAAAAAAGGCGTTTTTCAAACTTGTCGTTAGACAATAAAAACGTCTTCTTAAAATAAGAGCGTTTGACATTAGTGAATTTTCTCATTTTTCCACGCAAAAATTCTCGAAAAAAAAAAAAAAAAAAAAAAAAAAAAATACACTTTCGCGACAAATTTCAAAGCAGAAAATTCTCTTAATAGAAGATCGGAATTTTTATTACAGAGAAGAGACGTTTCAATTACATCTTTTAAATATAAACTTTCGAGAGCAAAGTTTTTTTTTCTCCGATGCCTCGTATAATACGTGTCAGTTTCTTGCTTCTCGTCGCGCGAATATTTACATGAGCGTGCACTCTTTGGCTGGCCAATCGGCAGACCGTATTTTCTGCTCCTTGCCGCATGACTGATCCCGACTGACGTTGCTCGGATGCTGACTGACGTAATGCACGTGTGTTGCATGTATACGTGCCTAACCGCTTCGCGAAATGCAAAATGTTCTCACGAACAACCGTGTCGGGGATCACGTTCGGTTTAATTTCGAGCGAACCGAGTTGAGCCAACTTGGCGAGCTTGTTTTCACTTCGTTTAATACGTCAATCCGCGATTAATATATATCCCGTGTGTCGACGATACTTTGCGGGAATAAATACAGCCGGGGAATATCCGGCAAGCAGTTTAGATGCAAACACAATCAATAATCAGTGGTTAAATTGACGAGCGAGCGAAATTTTCCCGGATTTCAAAACTCTCTTTCTCTCTCTCTCTCATGATCCGTGTTTATTTCCAGACCCCAATCTTTGCCAGAACGGTAATCTATTTTTATCGGGACTCTCGGGTATGTAAATGTGCGAACGCTGTCTTTTGAACGAAAACAGTAAGGATAAAAAAAAAAGGAAAAAAAAAGCTCGACGTAAATCAAACAAAACTCAAGTGCTTCGTGTTATGAAATGTTTTTCGTACGTGACGCGCGACGTAGGAAGAAAACACCGTATGCGAGTTTTTTTACTCTTCCTTTTTTTGCAATAAAATTGTACGTAAAACTAAAACATCTTGTGAGACAATTAAATATTGTAGTTTTTAAAAAATATTTATATAATTGTTAAAAAAATAAATTTTTTTACAATTGCATTACACCAGTGAAACAGTCTTGCGCATTGGAATAAGATCGATAACGCAATCGTTCCCTGATTATCCGAGTTATCAAGTTATCAAGCGAGATAATACGAAAGAAAGAGGGGGTGGGGAGAGAGAGAATCATAAACACGTGACGGCAACAGTATGTTATATACTCAGCTGTTTCGCGACAGACGTCAATGCACCGGGTGTCTCGAAAACTCTCGTGTTGTGTGCATTTCTAATCTTCGTACTTGGGATTAATTGTTAAGTCCCAAAGATTTATCACTCACAAACAAACGAAATATTGTACATAAGAAAGATTTGAACAACGTTTCGAGATAGTGAGAAAAGCGAGAGAAATACGCGCAAAGTTCTTGTAAACAAATTAAATACATCCCATCTCAAAATAACGAAGAAAATCCCTCATAGATCCCTTAGTAAAGAGAAGACACGTTGGTGTCACATCGGAACTGATAAACACTTTTTTTTTTGGTTTAGATAATTTCTACGTTATTATTTCGTGCACGCGTGATCGCAAGAACGACGCTCGATCGAGTTGAAGTCACATTACAATGTACCCACCAACTGCTGCTAAAATAACGGTCGATGTGCAAGGTCACACACATACACCGTGTGTATTGCTCACGCGTACAAGGTTAGGTTAAGTTAGGTTAGGTTAGAGTGTACGACTTCGAGAGAGCTACGCGACTCGTCATCATCGTCATTGCCAATGTACCGCGGCAGAGCGAAAAGCAGCGGGCGTTAGAAAGGAGGAGAGGGAGAACGCGTGCTTATCTTATACAGTTATCCTGGCGAAATGTCAAGACGCGCGCGGCCAGTGGCGCGGTGCGTGACAACTTCGAGCCGGATTTCATTGCACCCGCGATGCAACACAGTCGAAGAGAAAAAGAAATAAGACGAGAAGGAAAGCAGAGCGCGCGAGAGCGAAAAAGCGCGATAATAATCGCGCGTCAAGAGCGAGAAAGGAGCGATTCGAGAGATAGATAGTTGCATCAGAGAGAGAGAGGAGACTTTTACTCGTGCGAACACAATTGCACCCACCGCAGAGTAGACTTGAACGCGTTAAATGACGCCGATGAGAATATCACAAATTATTCTTAAATAATTTATATCGGAATGTTATTTTGTAAGAAGAGAGGCGGCGCTTTTTATCTCAATTTGTCCCGAATCTTCGGTAATATTTGTATTTACAAATAAAACACGATCAAAACAAACACGTTTCACGAGGTGATGTTACGGTGAAAATAATTATTTGCCGGATGTCACTCGCGTGTGTTGCGACTATTTGATCTTTCATTGTTCCAAGTCATCGTTCGTTCGCGGTTTCACAACAACTCATTAAAAAGCAAACGAACAGAAGCGAGTGCTAATCGCGCGTCGTAAAATCGCGAAGTCGCGTTGATGGCAATTATCACCATTGTGTCTCGCGCGAAATGACGGAAACCTCGTAATCACTTCCACGTGTGTGTGTACGTACGTACGTACGTATGCATGTATCTGTGTAAAGATACTATTTTTATACCTACACACGTACACACATCTCATACGCAATATATTTCGCACATACGTAACGCGAGGTTTCATCCCGTGAGCATTTGCGGGACGACGGCAATTTACGCTCGCGTGGAACGTACTCGTTGGCCACAAGCAGGATTTGTTCGTTATTGAGCGACGAGCACAACGGTCTCATTCATCGGGTATAAATACGACAGCGGCTACGGCGGCGGCGGCAGCAGCAGCAGCGTGTGACGTCACCTGATTGGACACGTCACGACATGGCAACTGAATGTGTATCTTTTGGTCGTCCCATCACGTGCTCGACGTACAACTCTTGTACGCGTTCGGACGCCGATCAAAGCGAGAGAGCGAAAGAGAGAAGCGGGAAGGGAAGGTAAGGAGACGAGAAGAGAACAGAGCGAGGACACGAGAGAGAGAGAGAGAGAACGTTGACTTCCTTTTAGCGCTATCTTTCGAGCACACACCGTACGCGTTTATATCGTGCCAGTGATGTGTGCATATGTTGTACCTCCTCGCGCCAGATGGCCACGAATGATGGGGCTTGTGTTGTGCAGCGCGCACAGAAGAGGGGAGAAAGAGATGAGGCCCTCCTTCAACTATTTATAGTAGCGACCGATAAAAACATCAGAACGCTGATCTGCTCAAAAAATCACATCAACTCAGCTACCGGTGTTGTGTGACTTTCACATTCGGGAAGTTCGAGGATCTTTTTTTTTTTCGCGCGTGACTAAATCCTACGGTTCTCTCTTTGTAAATAAATATTAAAAAAAAACCTACTGTTTTTCTACTTTTTGTTTTCATTTGGCCGAAGAATAACAGAATGTTTGTAGGAGAACTCGCGCTTAGAGATTTTCATTCTCCCGTTAATTATATATATACAGTGTGTTAATTACTCGACATTCGAGTTTTGAAACTCGAATAGGGTTCGTATATGCAACCGTCAACTTATAAACTTGTATTAAAAATTGATTGTTGCGGATATTTTGATTTGACAAGTAGAGAATAAAATAAAAATTTAAGACTACACGAAGAGTAGAACTGGCAAAAACAATTCGTGGTCAACGATCTCGCTAATGTGAATTGAAAAGAGATAGCTCACCGTTGGCCTTGAAGGTGGTCGCAGTTTCGAAACTGGGCGCTCTCACTGGATGCTTCTCCTTGTTCCTGTCCTGCACGTAGCTGACCGCGAGGCTGACGGCTGGCAGAGAATCGCCGCGCGTGAGCGGCGGCCTGACCGGATGCTGTTCCTCAAGCGAGAGTCGTTTCTCGTTGTGCTCGTCCTCATCGATCGCCGAGATGCCGCGTTTGAGCTGCGTAATACCGCGATTGTGCGGTGCAGTAAGGTTCACATGATGCGCCACTGCGGCCAGATGGGCGTTGGGCAGACGCACATTGTTGCTTCGCATGCCGTTCGCCATCTCGTGGCCTTCTTCGCCGTGTTGCCGACCGACCTGCCTGGCGGTCGCCGCCACCGCACCAGAAGTAAAGTCCGTGATGGAGTTACGGTGATGGAGCTGGGAATAACCACCGATACTGTGATGACGCGAGTGGCTCTGGCCGGTGTTCTGTATCGGCAACACGTCGAGGTTGGTGCCGCCGTTGTGCTCAGTGTGACCGGCCGCAGTACGATAAGTTTTCGAGGCGGATGACCGTTGATCTTGGTATGCGTGCGCCTTCTTCATCTGCTTGACGCCCTCGATTACCTGATCGATGCGGTCGGCGCCCTCGTAGTTGACACAGCCGCGGCACACGGGTTCCGAGAACTCCGTCACCATCGCCCACGGCATTCTGGGCAGATCGCACAAATAGCATTGCATCCGCTTGGTCATCATCTCGCCACCGGGAAACGTAGCGTCAACCACGAGGAATTCCTGCCGGTGGCGGTAGTAGTCGTCCTCTGCGTTGCTCCGCGCCGTTGTCTTATCACTTCACATCCACTATTTGTTTCGTGCACACGTACAGTGCGTATCTATCTCTCTCTCTCTCTCTCTTGTGTTCTCTTATCTGTTATACAACAATATAGTCGTGAGTTTTACGTGTGTGTGTGTGTATGTGTGTGTGCAATTCCTCCTTGTTTAACGGTCGCCCAGACACCTTGTTCTCTCTCTTTCTCTCACACACACACTCTTTCGCTCCTTTTCGTTAACACGACCTCTCGCGCCCGTATATTACTCCGCCACAACGCGCACTATGCGCACTCCGCACGCGTTCTTTCACGCTCTGTTCTCGGAAATTCACTCTGCGCTGCGACGCGAAGATCGATTTCGACCGCGCGCCTCTGCCACACTGTTCGTCCGACGAAGACTAACCGCTCGAAATAACGACGACGACAACTTTAACTGCCTCCTCCCTTCGTCTCGCACGCACTCCGTCGTCTCGGCTCGCGGCCACATGAGCCGCGAGAAGCACAATCCGCAGAAACGACGTCCAACGTTTACTACACGACTCGCCGATTCGTGCGTCGTTGCGCTTCTCTTCGACGAGCCCAACCGATCCAAAATGATCGTCCGACGCGCGGAGAAACGATGGCGGGAATACGTACGAGTCACTTCTCAGAAAGAATCACCGCGTGTATAGATGTGCGATCTATATATGCGATTTTGTCACTGTTCCGCCGCACGTACACCGAAGCCGAACAGAAAAAAAAAAACGGGGCACCACAGCGCGATATCGCGCACGCGAAATCGCGTCGTCGCGTATATATTATTGTATTATTCTTTTCTCTTTGACTCGCGATTCAAACACAAAGGCAAATCATGCGAAATTACCACTACGGATATGCGCGCCGAGTATCTGCAACAGGACGTACGCCCGCCCATCCGTACATTAGAAACGAACGCTCGAGAATGCGGCGGCAAGCGGAGCTGCGGCTGTTGTGCTCTCTCCGCTACCTAACACTGTCTCTCTCGATTTTGCATCCTCCCTCTCTTCTCTTCTCTCTCTCTCTCTCTCTCTCTCTGACTCTCCCTCCTTCTTTCTCACGCTCGTGCGCTGTTTCGCGCTTGTTCGACTCCGCTCCCTATTCGCTCGATTCCTCCATTGCCGAATCCCTGCTCGACGCCCCCCTCTCCTCGCTACTCGTTCACCGCATACACACACAATACACGCTCTCTCTCTCTTCCTCTACCCGTCGATCTTTTTTCTCTTCTCTCTCTTTTTCTCGTACCGAGAGACATTGCCAAGTCTCTTTACCCCCTTCGTCCTCCCCACGATGAAACGACTACGACGACGTGCCGACGACGACGACGACGACGACGACGCGCTCCGCCAATCGGACGTTGTGGCGTCATGGTGCATGACGTCATAATCGCGATGCTGCGCCTGCGCGCTGCGCAATGTCCTAGGGGGACACGTAGGCAGCGACCGGGATCTCTGCGAAATGCTCGGAGCGTCGAGAGAGGGATGCGAGGAGGGAGATGGTTGCATACTTTTGTGTGTGCGTGTTTGCGCGCGCGCGTCGCATCACGGCGCCCACTCTTCGCAATAAGCAGCCGGTTTTAAACCCGTGAAAATGCCTGATCTCAGCCAAGTCTCTTTCTCTCTCTCTCTCTCTCTCTCTCTTTGCGAGAACGGTATTTCTCCGAAGGTACTGTATTACTTGTTCGTCAGTATCTCAATTACACAAAAAGAAGCGTTGCGTGAAGCAAACGATGCACCGAGAGTTTGAAACGTTGTAATATTTTTTTCAATAATTCAAAGACATTGAGATGTACACAAAATTGTTGCGCGCACAAGTAAACTTTTTGTTAATTTAAACAAATATCGCTCGAATTTTATAAACGTGCTTCAAAATTCGATAAAAAAAAAAAAAAAACAACAAAAGAATAGCTCGTACTTGTTACGAGCGACTTTCTGTATATCTTTTCTTCCTAATCTTTGCGGTATGAACATAAAATAATCATTATTATTGTAGCGCCTGCTGAATCGGCGGCGTACGAATGGCGTGTTATTTTATCGGTTTTAGCTTTGTGATAACACAGCCGGTGATAACAGTCGACACGCGGGAGTGCCGAGATGTAGGTACATAATCGTCAACTCTGGCGAGTGAAACGACATATGCATCGTCTTTTTTTTTTTAGCAATAAAAACTCCGGAAATAATATTATTAATATATCATCAGCGTTTTATGTGCGTAATATCTAGAACCGGTCGTGTCATCTTCGATTAATCTCACTCGGCTGATTATTCTGTCGAAATCGATTCGATCACATATCGGTCTCGATTAGACCGATTGTTGACCGAATAGTTAATGATTTTTTTTTTTTTTTTTTTTTTTTATCGCGAAGTAACGTTAAAGGAGAAACTCTTTTCCGCGTCACTTTCCCTTCACGTGCTTTTGTGGAATACGACTATCGTCTGATCGAAGTCTAATAATGGATTTATATAACTTGCGTGACAAGAGTATGAATTTCATAATCGCGCTGCGATATACAATATTATAAAAAAACCGTGAAGAAAAACTTCTCTCTCTCTCTCTCTCTCTCTTCTCTCAACCGCTCAATGAAAATAAACTCGTTCGGAGTTAAAAACAAGTGAAATGTATATTTATATCTATCTATTATTTACATAACACCGATAACAATACGATGGTTTACATCATATCTCGAATTATTACACGGTCATTAATAACGACCAAGAACGTGTCGCTAACAAGAATTGCGGTAATCGTCGAGAGAGAGAGAGAGAGATTATGTTGATTGACGTGTCGATCACAATCGGCATTGTACCAAAAAGCAAGTGAGGAAAGGAAAACAAACGTAATCTCGCAAGTGTGACGTCGCGTACATAATTTTGTGAATATACCGATCGTATTATCGCAATTGCGTCGTGTGTGCAATACATCCATCGTTTGTAATTGACCTGAGAAGAGCCGCTCGGTCGCTCTGCCATCACGCGAATGACATCAAGTCTGACATCATAAGTATACAGCACAAGATCGTAACGTGATCTTTTTGAAGAGAGAGAAGAGTAGCGATGAGCCTCAATGAGACGGCGACCATGACGAAGAAGAAAGATCGCAAGCCGTCTTATCAATGCTAAATCGTCGTCATGTGGAGTCAGTATGAGGCAAACACGTCTCTTGCTTTATACATATATCTCTTTTATGTGTAAAACTGCGATACGTATATATGTCACGTAAATTTGCGTGAAATTCAAGGGGAATTACGAAAACCGCGATATGTGAAACAACAGATAATGGATTATGTAATGAGCGATAAGTTTTTATGTGTAAAAATACAAACTTGAAATAATACCCGCTTGTGACGCGCATACACACACACACACACACATATATATGTATATATATATATCTAAAGCGCGATCTATCCTCGCGCAGCATTCTTTTATCGACGCATCGTATTCTTCGGCAATGCGCGAGGGATCGTATTCCAATGATCTTTTACAGTTATCACAGCTCTCTCGTATAATCGGGTTTTACCTTTCGCTCTCGCGAACTGCACGATAACGAGAAGTTGGCCGAGGGCTGAAATGGGTTGCTCTCTCAGCGTGCGCCACAAACACACAAGCGATGACGAGTAATCGAACAGACACCGATTGGTAAATTTGGTTTGACCTCTGGGATAACTCGGCCATGTGCTGCCGTAAATTAGAGTACAGTGGCGAATGTACCAAACATTATTTATCGGTTCGAAGCCAAGAATACATACACACATACAAAACCAGGCGACGAGATAACAAGAGAGACGGTTCACCGATTGACCGTTTTTTCTCGCGAATCAATGTATGATTTAATAAAAACGTCGCACAAACAGAGAGAGAAAGAGAGAGAGAGAGAGAGAGAGAAAAAAACTCGATTCACATTATCGATGTCTGCTGGCGTATATAAAAACCGAAACCGATGTGTCTGCGCGTATTCAAATTCCACAAAAGAGGAAAAAAGGTAATAAAATTAAAAATAATTGGACACCTAGAACAAAAACTACACAGAAAGCTTTTTTTGCAGGGAGAAACATTTTGTATGAAAGATAAATTTTCAACGAAGTGGTTTTGTTGCTACTGCGCAGAAAAATTATTTTGAAACAACATGTATGGAAATTTGCTCGTAATTTATGCACACATTTTGGCATAATATAAATTTTCATAATTAAATAAAAAGCTTCGAAAATTCCGTCTAATGTTGCGTCGTATCGCGATATTGCACGACTGTGAAATATTTCCCGTTGCGTCGTGGGAATTGTTATCTTTTTATCAGGTCGACCGATAGGGTCACAACTTTGTGTCGCATTATAAACACAACAGTCTGCAAAATAACTTCCGGCCGAGACAGACAGACGGACAAGAATGAGAATCACTGCAGGCCGCTACGACGCCACTCTTCGACGTTCGACGAGCGCAGCTGTAAATCGAAGGAGCCGTCTGGCTTCTAATTTTATTGCGCGACAGAACGGGAATGAATCGACGCGTCAGTACCGACGAACGCTCTGGATTTTGCTTTTCGGGGCGAGCATCGAATTTTGCTCTTAAATTTGCGATCCGTCTGCGCATACGAAAGTAATCTCTCTTTTCCGTTCTCGGATATTTTATTTTAAACATATTTAAAAAACGACGCGACAGAAAGAAACCGAGAAAAAGATATCGTTTTTTCTTAACGTGAAATATAACCGGCCAATTTGTCTCAATCCATTTCAAATTATCAACGTTAATACGTTCTCTCTCACTTTTCGCCATTATCTTCAGTTTTGATAACGATTTGTCGAATTTTTTTTTTTTTTTTTACCGATAGCGACGCAAGATTCTCATTAGCGCGTAATGAATTACGAATAACAAAAGACACATTTCCGCTGTGGGATCGAGTGAAGCTCTCGTTCGATCAATTTGCTTACGCGAAAATCAGAATCGTGACCGAGGATATACACATTTGTTGACGAAGCGAAATCAATTCGACACCTTGAATTCGCGGAGCGGCATCCGGTCGGCCGATGTGTGTGTGTGTTGCGCGATTGAAATCCACGTGATTATTACGTAATAATCACGTTCGACGCTTTTAATCCAAGTCAATCAAAATTTTCGTCAGTTTAACGCTTACCGCAGTCGCAAACATCAAAATACCGCTCTTTTGTTCGAGTAAAGAAATTATTTGCGTACGATGTTATTTTTGCTCTCAAGCGCTTGCATTTTTCCTCGTAACGAGACGATGAAATGTTTGGTACGCGTTAGCAATAGAATATAAAAAATTATCATTCATTAATATCCATATGTTTAAATGACGCGATGCGTCCTTTGAACTTGATTTGATTATAAACGAACGAAAGATGAGAAATGGAATAATCGCGGCGTAATTGCGATTCAAAAAAAAAAAAAAAAAAACAAACATCGCCTGCTATCGGCCGCTTGTGTCGTAAGAAGTATTTTCTATCGGCTTTATTTACGATTAAACTCTTTAAATCGATGGAAACCAAGATGGAGCAAAACGTAAACGCATACTGCGTGACTGATTATGCGAAATAACACTAAAAAACATTGCTCGCTTATCTACTGAAAAAAGGTAGGTGTTTTCTTTGTTACAGTAAACTCTTTCTGGTTTTTTAAAAAAATTAGAAAGTTTTCTTGAATAGCTGCGTTGCATTTTTTCGACATAATATTTATATTATTCTCCGGATGCAAATATAAAACGATAAAAAATGTCTAATGGAGATTTACGGCTTTTTTTTTTTTACGAGATTCATTTTCCACTACATTTCGTTCATATATTCACTTTGTCGTGTGTAATTACGTCGGTTTTTCTTATCTCGTTCTGCAACAAAGGGATCGTTGTATACACACCTTCTCGAGCGTAAGTCAGGCTTCAGCCGACTCGCCACTTTACGTGCTCGCCCTAGAGTCGTATGTCTCGTGACGTCACCCCGTCGTTACGATCCGACAACGCCGCGCGGGCTGCAACGACGTGCGGTGT